CTGTTTTTAGAAAACGTCGTTCCGATCTTGTAAAATTTGGAAGTTTAATTATGGTCCGGATAGTATCGGGATGATCGGCTGAAGGTTCCATCTTCAGTGCTTCACCAGCTTCCTTTTTCTGCCGTTTAATATCCTGTAGAAAGAAAACAAAAAGTTTAATTTTTGTACGACATATTAAACGGATTAGACATAGGATATTTGTTATTCCAGAACTAACTACTTAATAATAAGACTTACAATACACATACACCTCAATATGTTGAATTTCTTTGTCGATTTTTCGTTGTTTTTCCATTTCTTCTTCTTGTAATTTCTTTAATTCCTCCTTCTTTCGTTTCTCCTTTTCCTGATCAGCTTTTAAACTTTGTAAGTAGGCTTCGTCCTGCTGCTGACGTAAATGTTGCGTCATGTTCCGTTCATAGCGATCCTGTCTTGCAGCGACAAGGAAATCTTCATTGTCAGCAACACCTTGGTGAAGTCAAGGAAGCACCACCGAAGGATCTGTTTCTCCTTCAATTCTAAATACATAGTAACTTTGTAAATATTGTGGGCGCGAGAAGTACATATAATACATAAATATAGCAAATCGGTATTAATCAATTTTACCTTTTCACAATTGTCATTCGATTATTTTTTAGAACAATAAGAGCTAAGAATGGGAACGTATTCTCTCAGGTTCAGTAGCCCGGAAACTGAACAGGCCCAGAACATGTTTTCATGGACAGAGTCGTTAAAATCTAATGTCGTAATGGTATCACCAGTTGACGATCCTTTGCCGACACGTTTCTCATCTTTTGCATAGACCAGCAGGATTTTGCAGTGTTCTAAAAGATTAAATGGGAAAACAAATAAGCACAAAAGTGCTGTCCCTTGGCGAGTAAGATTAAGCAAATCTACCTGTATCCGTTTTGTTTGCATGAGTGTAGGATCGAAATGCAAATTGTCTGCTCAAGAGGAGAGTAATGGGCGTTGCTATGAAGGTTATCATATCGATTGAACTGCATCAGCATGAAGGCCGCCATACTTGGTGACTTTGCAAAATGACTAGAAATCATCACAAGTGTTATGGTAGTCTTAATTTTCATAAATTTAGTGGTCAGTCTCTTATTTTCGGTCGTGAGCTTCGTAATCTGATGTTTAAGCTTTGCGATTTCCATATCCCGTAGCTTAATTTTGTCCAGCAGAATTTGAATATTCTAGGGAAGAGAAGTTGCAATTAAATTTAGACAAACATAAATAATATACACTGCTCGTCATAAGTGATCGCCAAACTCCGTGCAGCAACTTTGACCTCATGTTTCTCTACAAATACGCGGTATAATCCAATTATTATTTTTTCATTTTGAAGGCAAATTAGTTAGCAAAGAGCTGTAGAAAAATTTTTCCTAAAACTTTAAAAATAACATTTTTGGGAAAGAAAGGCTGGCCAAATCCCAAAACGGAATTGCCAAAAGTCATCGCCAAAATCCAATTTTATTGCACTATCATGGAAATAATTGCAGGTAAGTCAATTATTTCTATAATTAATCAAAGTAATTTCTATAATTACCTTCAAAATGAAAAAATAATAATCCATTATACCGCGTATTTGTAGAGAAACATGAGGTCAAAGTTGCTGCACGGAGTTTGGCGATCACTTATGACGAGCAGTGTAATTTGGCAGGGGTGCGATATTTACCTACTACGGTTGTAGAAGTCGATTGATTTTGTAAATTTCCAATGTTACTATTTGACAAGGCAGGCCTAGGCGCATTAATTGTAATTTTGATTGGAACAGCGGTTGGCGCTAGTTTTCCAGTTGGAAGAATGTCGGGGGACTGGAAGTGGTTGACGCAAATTTGTGCACCATAATAAACATCTAAAGTTCGTAATACAGAAATTTAGAAATAGCACATCAATTTTCAGCACCAATTATACATGACGTTACCTATTAATATCTGAAGGGAACGTGAAAAATTTAATATTTTTGTCCTCACGCACATTTTGACACCCGGAAAATGCATAATAATGAACCATTTTTCTGCAAAATAACGATGCACCAATTTGTAATGCAAATCATACATGTACATACTTCATGTTCATTACATTGTCACCGTTACTGCGATGGAGGTCTTCAACCCTTCCTAAACCTCCAAACAACAAGCCCAACCAGATCGACAGATTTGACCCCTGCATAATTAATTTATCACGTTAAAATGGCATATAAAATAGAATATGGCAAGGATTGCCATGTAATGTGATTGAGCAGGGTACCTTGAGTGGTCACACTAGTCCAAGAGACGATTCGTCAGTTTAAGTCTTGCGAATGACGAGATTGACAGTTATGCAGAACTGAATCAGGAAGGGGCCGACCAGTTTGGGTGGTGGGTGAAGGGTGCAATCTAGAAAGCATAATCAGTTATAGATAATTAATTATTCAATCTTTTCTTGCTTCGGTCAGTATTAAAAAAGAAGCCTAATTTAATTGAATTTAGATTTCATGATTTGATTTCATGATTTGAAGCAAAATGGAATATTTCAAGAATAATTGGCTAAGCTAAAAAAATGAATGAAAATACTTTAATAGCAAAGACATATATAATTACGAAACATAATTGAACTCTCACCACAATTTTCATGAATTTAAGCTGGCTAAAAATTGCAGGATTTTGGTGCATTGCTGGATGGTGAGTTGGAGGATTTATCGACCCAGAGCGTGTCACAATTCTCTAAATAATACAAATTACACCAGAATTAAATCCATGTAAATGGTGTGGTATTTTGCGGAGCAATTTTTGATTATATGTATGTAATAAATAATCTACAAACCAGCCTAGCCACAAACTCCACGATAGGTACACGACCCGTGTGTCGTAAACGTAATAGGCAGTATATTGATAAACTGCAAAAAAGAACATTTCATCATTATTTTGACTCTTGGGACGACTTATTTAAAAATTACTCACCCTTGGGAAGGTTTGAAGTTTTGTTTAACTAAAAATGCGTTTGCCACGATCCAGACATTGAATATTTATGTTACGACGTTATGGAATTTTAATAGTAATAAGTAATACGTTTAGAATCAAGCAGTTCATCTTTTAAATATTTGTTTTGTTAATTTTAATTAACATTTTTCGTGTGAAATGAAAAAAACTAAACATTTTTAAGCAGGTGAGTATGATTTGAGATTGCCGCAGATTTGGGTGAAAGTGGGAGTAGGACGTGCCACCTGCTGCTTAGCTCCGCCCCTCCCCTGACCGTTCCCTTCTGAAATGCGCTATCTATATAGAGTGCTGCTGCAACACAATCTCTCATCTATGGATTTAAGCGTGTTTAACATTTTATTACAAAAGTTTTCATAATGACACTTTGTAATGGAGGGATCTTTTGTCGGACGTTTCAAAAACAGCTTAGAATGGCCTATTATCCATTGTAACTTAACGAATGCATGGTTGCCGATCGGACTCAGTGGTAATAATGACTCCTCCATTAACTAACAAGCATGTATATGTAAAACCAGTATCCAAACAAATATGTGTCATCGTTAAAGTGTTCTACGCTCTCGTTCTCGTTCTACGCTCATCTGGTCTTAGTTTAAGCAGAGTCGCTGATACTATATTTAAAAGAGATGTGTAAACTCTGTACCAGTGCAATGTAACGTTTCCAACAATAAAATGGGGATACGGAACTATGTAAAGTTTTCAGAAGACTCGTCGTTTTCTGGAATAATAAGTAATGAGATTTCCCCCACGAGTCGCTATTTAGTCCTACATTTCTTCGGTTGTGGATGAACCAAGTGGGAAATTACCAACCACACATGTTCACATCCGGACCCGTTGTTATACCCACTTTGCATCTCCTACTTGCACATTCATGAATGCATGATGTATGTTGATCGCTTCCTCTTCAGGAGGAATAAACCGTAAGCGAACGTAACGAAGGAGTGAAACAAGTGGCAGAATAAAAACTTTTTCCCAAGGTCCAAAGTCCACCATATAAATTAAAACAGAACACTAAAATGTAGACAAGTTTAATGTTCGACTCGTCGGCAAGATCACGGGTCGTCGTAGATCAAAATCACGTATCAGGTTGGACATTTAAAATACCATCAACTTGACACCCCACATGACCTAATTGACGTTGAAAGTGTCATGACTTTTGACCTGAAAGGTCAGCCAACCAACTTGACCTTAGTTCTTACCCCTCATTAAAAAAGACAGGACTTACAAAAGTGAGTACGTTCAAAAGTTAGCGTGCGACATGCCGGACGGACGGGCAGAGCCGATGCATAAAGGGGTTTCACCAAGGGAATATTTAAGTTTCCGAAATGCGGGTTGGCTGGCGGGTAGTTGTGGGTGGCAAATGTGCATACACACATTGGTAACTTGCTTAGAATGCAAATATATTCACTCCTATCATCTGTTAGATATTTATTACGATTCACTGGTGTGTGACAGAATCCCCACCACTAATAAGTTACCACATTTATTATTCCATTTCATTCCAGGGACATTAATAATTCTCCTTTCTCCATTAAGTTTATCGGAACCATCTGAGCGAATCTTTGGCAAGGAAAATCCTCAACGTCGTATATAAACGGCTTCTAGTTTTATGTCGACCAAATAAGCTTTTTTTGCCTCGTCGTCCCAGTCCTCCTTAGGAAGTGGGTAGTTCCTTCTGGCACAAGACTCGGTCGGACGGAGGAGAATTTAATGCATGGCGTCACCGACATCCCACAAAATAATACCCGCACAAAGACATTACCCATTTATGAGGGAGATAGGACCACATCTAGAGTGGTGATAAAGTGATAATACTAATAGCTCCATGCGACCACCACCATAAAGCACTATATGATTTGCTTCGAAATGGTATCCATCCATGTGGTGGTGTCTGGTAATAAGTAATCATAATTCGCCCCCTCCCGTCCCCAGCCGACTCCTTGGCCTTCTTTCCACTGCACTATTGTCCCCTTTATTTTTTCTTAAAGTGAAAGTTAAATCTCATTCTTTTCTATTCAGATGGCTCAACTCGTTCTGCAACATCTGTCATCACAACCCCAACATTCGGATACTTTAGCCGAGCTGACTTTGGTCAAGGAGTAAGAACTATGCCATCCGAGGACCAAGTGGTGCAGGCAGACTGAAGTTTTTCGAGACATCAAATACCCGTCATCTTGGCCCGTTGAACCACACACGACAACAAAACTTGTGCACGTAAGGTACCAAACCCCGCATTATTAGCATCATCATGAATGAAGCAAAAAGAGAGATGACACCGTGCTGGCAACTTTGTTGAGCTAGCTAAATATTATTCACATCACCATTCAAACCTTAAATCCCTTTCTGCAACCAAATGCGAATTTGTGCCCTCTGCTGCAGGGAGTTGAATCGAGTTACTTTTTCCAACATTTCTCTCCACGGAATTGAACCAATCCCCGCATCTTGTGCTACCAACAAAGTTGACAATTTACTATATCGCGTACTACATGCCATGGAGAAGGAGGAGGATGAAGGTTAGTTTCTGCTGGTTTACAGAGAAAAGTGAAACCAGAGAATGGGAAATGTCGGTGGTTGAGTCGTTGATCCATGAAATTCAAATATATTTCTATACCCCAAAAGTAATAAATGCTATAAACGAGAGATTTCCTCTTTCTTCCCATCATTTTGGGGTTCGTTCAAGAATTGAAAGTTGTCCAAGTATGGGACATTTCGCCCAATGGTGTCTCTCATGACTTACATTCGCAAGTTCATGCATGCAACCAACGCGGCACATTCGCTACTAATCTCAGCATTTGTATCGATTCCATTTCTCACGGTGAATGGCACATCGTCAAAAACTTGATCTTACTTAAGTAGATATTTAAGTGATATGTATATATATTTAATGTATATGTAAGTATAAGAAATGTGAATTATTTATCTTTCCAACTCTGTGTATAAATCAAGAAATATGACAACTAATCCATTGGAGAAGAAAAACTTTCCCGAATGTGGGAAAGTAGTAAGTAGTAATTTATGTACGCACGTAGGAATATTTAGTTGGGCGGACTTTTTCAAGCTCAATCGAAATTTTATCTATTCAGATTCGTTTTCGTTTTCATTTATATGTATTTATTATTCTCTCGGCAGACCTGCAGCTATTTATTTTATCTTCACTCGTGTACACAGTTGACAGAGTACAAATGTCGGTAATACTTGTTATGTGCTATGAAAATGTGCTACGAAAGTATATACACGAATATTATTTCTAATATCTGCTTTCTTTTCTTCGTGTCTGAGGATGAGATTAACCAAGTTTTTATCTGGACTATGTTTTTGTTGAGCATTTCATAGAGTTCAGATAATTATTCGGGGAGGAAAATACTCAATTACTCGGGAGCTAAGGGGATATCTAACTTAGGGATTTTTTGTACATGCATGGGTGACAGAGACACGTCAACATGAATGAAATGTATAAATATACAGCGAAAATGAAAAACAAATGGATCTTTAGACCAAAACTGAGCCCTCGGTCTAAATTTGCATTCGTTTGATGCAGAGTGTAACTACTTCCTAGTGGTGAAAGTGTGAAAGTTGTGATATTTAGATTTTAAACAACATGGACGTACCTTTTCAAAGTAATTGATATTTAGTTCATGGATCTTTAGGCGATTTTTATACAGTACAATTATTATTATAGAACAGCTATATAACGTGCTCGTATATTCGTACATACTTAAATACATACATTCAAATATGCATAAATCGGCTATTTAAATAGTGCATGCTACGTAAATATGTAATATATGGTGCACACATATTTATATTTATGAGGTGTTGTCGTTGTACTGTTTACTATTAAAGAACTCGCAGCTTAATATGTGTATGAAAAAATATTTATGCGGAGCGTAGTTTACAGTGGACCAGTAAGTACATTTATCATGGAATGAAGTCTACAGATAATCCAAAAAAATTTTGGTTTATGAAATAATTTAAGAGGAAAAATATAACTCTTGGTGCATACACTTACTTAGATTCGTATATAAATAAATATCTCAAACTTATAGAATATGCGTAATATCTATCCGTATAATTAATTCATTAGATTATTGCTGAGAAATATATACAAACTTAAGTCCAAGATTCAAGAGATTCATATAAATATTTACCAAATCAATGTATATTATAAAAATGTTAAATATTCTTAAAACCTAAATTAATTATAGAATCATACATATGTAGACATGATTAGGGGCAGATGTATGTATGTACTTAACTTACAACAGTATTACCGTGTAGCTCGTATCTCACAAAACGAAAAGTGATTAAATAAATATAAAACCGTAAATTAAAGCCGTGAAGTTACTCAAATATTAGAAATTATTTCAGAAAATAAACAATAAATTTTGAATTAGTGCATTGACCCGTAATTTGCGTTGCTCATTATTGCCAAAGGCTGCAGGTAATCGAAAGCTCATCAGCCAAGGAAAAAAAATGGCCACCGTTGCATTGCATTCCCTCGATCTTTACGTAACTTTTGTAGCTTTTTTATCCAAAGTTTCAGAGGCTCTGGAAAGAACTCTTGGAAAATCCGCCAAGCGAAGAAGCCAAAGTACAAAGCCTACCCACTCGTGTAACTTATAACGAACCATGGACGACGGCAGCTGCCTCCAATTCCTCTCTTTTCAGAAGTCATCTCCAATTACCTTTCTCGACTTTCTTTCCTCGATCACTGCCCAAACAAGGGTTCTGATGGTTGTTTACATCAAAAGTGAAGTTGAACCATCAAAAAGTCCTCCGAAACCGAGCTCTCTTTCCTCACTTGCGAGCATATCTGTGTAGGCATGTACAAATGTGAACTCTTGAGCAAGGATGCCACACAGAGAGTTCTACAAAGTGTAATTAAACCCTCTCTGACAAAGAAATCCTGTATTTTGCTTTGCTGTTGAAAGAATATATTAAAATAAAAGATGAGGCGAAGGCGTAGACATACGCATGTTCTTGTTATGTGAATGTACATAAATACATATGTAACCTGAGAGTAATAACCGACGACTAAAAAGACACGTTTTGCTTACGTGGTTCACCCCACTGACTGCTGTTTCATTTGCATTTGATTTCTCCCCGGAATTGGTCGAAATGTCAGAAACGAAGAGAGAAACACAGAAGACATTGACTTTGACATGGAGTTAAAGAAACAAAAGGAGTCAAGAGCGAGTCTCAAAGCATCTGCTGTTGACATTCTCATTTTGATCCAATCCTTCAATTCCTTTAACTGACTCCACATTTTATTCTCGCTGGCTGAGAAAGCTGACTATCCTTTTGTTATGTCTAAGTCCATGCAAGTTTTACAAGCTTTGGGATGGTTTCTAACAATTACAGACTGCAAATTGTGAAAAAAATTCGAAAATACGCAACTTTGCATATTCGAGCATTATCTACGTGTGCAGCAGTAAGTACATACATACGAAACTAATGCAAAAATTTATCCGATTGTTCATCCCCCACTTTAGTTTGAACCTCATTTCACTCAACGTCTGCATTCATCAATCAGTGGTGTGGTTAGCCGGGTTGGAGTGATATATATTCCAACTATTGCAAAATGCTTTTAAGCAACTCTACCACTTTGTCGGACTAATCTTGTGACTAGACTCTCCGTTGGATGGACGGTTTTCACCACAAAATGCATTAGCTGCGCGTCTTCCTTCGGGATCCAGCCAGATTTGGTAAACGACATTAATTAGCTTAATGGGCCTGGCTTTCTTTTAAGCCTTTGAAATAATCGAGAGCAATCTCAACCTATTATGTACATATCTAATACAATTGCATAAATGCACTATGACTAATCCTAAGTATGTGCATGCTTATGTACGTATAGGATTCGTAAGACTTTGCTAGAGTTGAATATTTAAAGATTTAGCTCTGAGATAGTTCAGCTGAAATTGTCATTGGCCAAAGTTCATATACGTCCTGACGCTTAAAACGTAAAAAGATCAAAGCATTGAAAGTCACTCACAAAATCAACACCCACCATGCCACCATTCAGGACCAACAACCCACGGGTTCACGTTGGTGCCTACGAGGTTCTTATCACGTCCTTGTGCATTAGTCATAATCTTATGTTCTGGTTTTGTTCCGTACGATGCAGGAATGCACGAGTACAGTGATGGCCATGGCCACACACAAAATATGCACGAAAAACCCTGGACATCATGACCTTATGACGAACAGGAAATGATATAATGTGTGATTCATGTATCGTAGTACAGCAAGCCAGCACCCACTTAGAAAAGGTGCTCCTCATGCTCGAATCAATCGACAATTATTTCACCAAGTAGGTATATGGCCAAAACTCGAGATTTGTGTGCGGATGAACGAACCATACTCGTTGAAAGCCATCACTTGCTGATGACTATAACTTGGAACAAAAATAGATTTTATTGCGACTTCTGTTTATGATCTATCCTGTAAACTTTTTAACACTTTGGAAACATTTACATCATCTGTCTGTCAGCCCGAGTTTCTTGTAGATGTGCATATTTCCCCAATAATCTTATGAAAAGAGATCTTGTGTTCTCTTCCGTTCGTTTCACTTTTTAGCATGATTTTAGTATGATTGTATAATATGTAAGTAAGCAGGAAGGCATAGCCGTCAAAGTTGTAAAGTGTGTGGGTGCTCAGATTGAGCAAAATGTCAGTTTCTTGACTTGCAACTTCTTCAATGCCTTGTATCAATTTCTATTGTCCTAATCCTCATATATAGCTCTATATATGCTTAAATCTGAATGATTTATCTGGAAAGATATTCTTGCATGTTGCATTAACACATGCAATACAAATGTTCTGGAAAATCCAATACCTATAACTATGCAACTATGGACATAACATGATACACGACGTAACTTTGTACTTGTTATGATTATCCATTTACAAATCTCAGTTAGTATAGAAAATACAAAGAAGAAAATACATAGAAAAAAAACCAGAAGATTGGGTGTGCGTGGCGATAAAAATTTGGCATCGGTCACGAAGCTGCATCGAAGAAAGTTCTGCAAGGCGCAGAGGCGTCGAGGGTGAATCAGGGTCCGACCGACCATTGTACAAAATTCACTTTGGCTGGTCAAGTTCCACGACATTTGGATCTTTCTGGATTCAGTAAGCTAGTTTTTACTCTGGATGCACTTTCGAAATATATTTTTTGAACACCAGCTTCTCGCCTCCTACTACTTTTGCATTTTTCAAAGAACCCATGAAAATTTTTGTGATATGATCTAGAATAGATAAGCCATTTGAATACTAATTTTTAAAAACAAATTCTTGCCCAAATCAAAAACTAGCTTGGTGCAAGTGATCAAAACTTCCCTATGCAACCCTAGTAGTCCTAAAATTCTAATCACACGTAAATCTAATCTAATCCCACGTATTTGGATAAGGAACGACATTGTTACAAAGGAATTCAAATATGTACGTGTCTAAATATGCAGCGAATCTACGAGGTCACAGGGCCAAGTACATAAACATTTATCCTTCCCAGAACTTCTCATGTAGATATTGCATGTTGATATAATTCCGCAAAATCTATTGCATGTTGATATAATTCCGCAAAATCTAGCCTTCAAAACGACGGATTCGAAATAAATAAACAAATACGTGCAGGCAATAGTATTAGTTCGTGACAGGGGTTTCGCAGCAATTAAATAAATGATAGCTAAACAAAGCACCAATGCCAAAAGTGGTTCTGATTATCGTCAATTCCGCGTAAGCAATAAAGTAATTCAGCGCAGTTTAAGCCCACGACCATGCTTGGACAAATTGGACATGGAAACCACCAGACCTTTCCCATGAGAGTTATGTACTCTGACCGGACATTTAATAGTCGCAACAGAGAAAAACAAAAGTCAACCTCCCACCCAAACTACAATTTGCAATATCGTCTGTGTAGCATAAGGTTGGAAACAAGAGGAGAAAGCAGAAAAGTGCTTCATTGTGACCGACTCTGCTCGTCTGTGGCACTAATCAAGAAATACTGAAAAGAAGCAAATGTAATTAAATACACCAGGAAACGGGAAAAAATTAAAGTTTCGGGTCTTCGTCTATTACTACTGAAGACCTTTCGATGCTATATACGCCCTACGTACAACATATGCATACATGCCCACCTACTTAAATGTCTGTATGTACGTAACAGTTATATTCTTACGCAGGCACACATACTGCAACCACCTTAATCACCTTATTGTGCTTGCCTGGCTTATTACTTCCACGTACTCACGTTACTATGTTTCGTCAGATCTCGAATGTTCGGACATGTCGCATACACATGTGGCTGGTGAAATCAAACTTTCCTGAGACGTAGAAAATATTTGTGTGTGGGATAGACAAGTTGTTGGCTAATGAAACTGACATAAATTCTTGGACGGAATGTAATTTTATTATGGAGAAATCCACCAAAAAATCTTTTATATAGCTAAATATAACTAACAACCACTGAGCAATTACCCTAAAGATCAAAGACGAATCTCTCAGGTGAAAGCATGTGAGTAAGCAATAAGCAGTTCTTTTTTTTCTTTCACCCATGCTTTCGCTTCTTCTTAGTATTCCCATTAGAAGAGCTTCCTCCTACTCCTCCATTGTTGCTGCTTCCTTCCTTTTCATCAGGAATGAAAAGATGGTGAAGTGCGGTTGGAATTTCTTCCTTAAAGTACACTCTCCCGAGCTCTTTCATCGTTTCAACGTCCATGGAACAATAAACAGTTTTTCCAGTCCAGTTTTTCCCCGTTGTCCACCACAGCGCTAATAAGCACTCCATCATCTTCCAACTCCCCACAAGGATTATGCACAAAGAGAGGTTCTCCCGAAATGTAGTGCTCAGACTCCCTCCAGTCATTGGAGGTCTTGGAGAACGCGTGCACTTTGGAGATGCCATTCTGAAAACAACATCGTGTAGCAAAGCCCGCGCCGTGAGCTGCTCTTTTTGGCAAGAATTTTTTTATTGATGGTGGGCAGTTCCAGCCCGCGTTCCATCACAACGTCTGGACGCAAAACTTGCTGTTTACCCCGTCGCACAGCCGTGATGTTCGTATTTATCGTAACGACATTTGCTCCTTCGACGCATTCCTCGAGGTCCAGGAAAGGAATAACATATCGCTCCCCACAGGGGGAATCTTGACTCATATTGTCCAGAGACAGACGACGCAACTTTCCAGGTTCATATGTTGAATGAGAGAGTTTGCGTTGGGAAAGGCGGTCAGACCCGTGATGATGTGATCATTCAGCTCGTAACAATTGATGATATGGAGGAAGAAAAATGGATCCGCAGTCACCACATCTGCTTTGAGAAGCTTCCCACTCGCTTTCTCTACTACGAAAAACCTGTTTCCGTTTTGCGGTTTCCATTCAAGCCAATCACTGATTGGGGT